CCCTTTGGAATTCGACAAAATCAAAGAATTAACTTATAAACAATAATTCTTATAAATTAAAGATCCTAATCGTCACCTCAATATACTAGGAACCTATTTCCTCAAACTCTCAAGACTTTCTATAATCGTCGATCCATAAATCGAATAACTTCAAAATCGCCTTGGAACTATTTGATCCTATCGAACACCTCTCTCGTTCACTGCTACTAAGCTCACCAAAGCTCGTTGCTATCAGGAATTCACCTCGTCCATCTTCAGTTGAGATTCGGAATTTATAGTGTGAGGTGATGTCACAATTCTAAATGAGATCACTCTCCTCATTTACATACTTAACGCTAACAATAAACTTTTTTCGTTTCTCTGGCAGCCTATTTACGACAATTACTCGTTAACCTTTTACATTATTCTTTTTCACAATTTTCGGGACGTTTTTATTCTTTAAGGTTTAGCGAGTCCCTAATTCATGCTTGTGGGGTCTCCCCCCCTTTTCTCGGTGCGGACTTACTTTTTTCCGCTCGGGAAGCACAAGTGTGCGCGAGTTTTTCTACGGCGCTTTTCTTTCGTTGGTGAGTTGGTTTTTCTTCTATTTTTAAGTTACTAAGGTGAATGGTGAGGAAACCTTCGTCCTAACAAAACATAAGCCCCAAACAAAAATAGAATAATAAGCAAAATAAAAGTAAATAAAAATAACGTTTGGACTTGGTTCCTTACAACCAGATTTGGTTACAGTTGGACTACTAAATATCTCTCTAGACAATAATGAATAGGGTACTTTAATTACAATCACTTGATATATGAACATGAATTATTGTTCTTTTTTATCTTAAAATCTTAATTTGATATTGGTTCTTCATGCACATGAAATTCCACAAGAATCAATGTCCATACAAAGAAGAAAAAGAAAATATGCAATGATAAAGAAATGATTGCTAATGTGAAGTAATAAATTTATTGAATACTGATTTACTGGCATAGCAATAACTAGGATATTTTAAAAAAAATGTGCAAATTGCCATACAGTGGAACCTCTATATTCATAATATTTGATATTCGTCACATTTTGATGACTTTTTTATTTTTCCATATTCGTCAGTATTTTCTGTATTCGTCATCATTCCCAACACCAGAAGTGGCACTACAATTGCATGCCTGCGCCGATCAGCTAGCCATGTTAGCTAGCTGTTAGTTAATCAGTCTGCTTTGTGTGATCATTGTGTGTGTTGTTGAATTATTGAAAAATAATCAATGCGAGAAACCAAGTTCCAATCACCCCAAAGTGGCATCCAAATGTTGCTATAGTCAACCAAAATACAAATATATTCAATGATAACATAATTGCCTACTTCAGAAAAGTTTTAAAAAGCAGACAAAAACACACAACACTGGACAAGTTCTTTATTAAATTGAGTGCTACTAAATCATTGGCAAAACAGACCCCATGATCATAATTTGAATTGCCTAATGTTTTAATTGATATGTCTTCTTCTAAACAATAATACTGTTCTTCTCCTTCTACAACTATACTGTATTTATTTAGTATAATAAAGATATAGTTTTACAAATAACATAATTTTTATTTTTGTATCTTTTTTTCAGGATGGAAACGGATTAATTGAATATCAGTTATTTATTATGAGAAAAATTGTTTCTATATTCATCATATTCCATATTCGTTAGGTCCTTAGGAACAGATTAATGATGAATATAGAGGTTACACTGTATATTTATATTACATGGAAAAATAGTATTTATTCAGTATATTTATTCATCAGTATTTGTATATTTCTGTAATAAAATTCTCATCTTGATATTAAATATTATTTGTTGATATGACAGTTTAACATATGCTTATATATATTTGTAAAAACGTTGAATCAAAATATGTACTGTACATTATATACCACACAATTATATTCTAATTTACGTCAAAACAACATTTATCTAGCATATAATTATTATAATCTTCAAATCAAATCTTATAATATTTTTATTTAATTTCAAGATTAAGCTTTCTTGAAATTAAATGTATTGATACAAATGCGAAATGATATATAGTTATGAACAATATTAATTCTACAATCATAAAATCATAATTATAAATGAAAAAATTAGCATTGAAATAAATTGACGTTGATAAATACCAAAAATGCCAGTAAATAATAATAAATGTAAATACATACCAATTCATTTTCTATATCTAATGCTTTTTGTCTCAATCTATTTTTAGATTTCTTCATCATTGCAATGCTATAAATAAAATATATTATTGGTATTTTATACCTTATTATCAAAATTAATCATAAAATAAATAATCCCAAAGTCAAATACTTTATGATAAAATCATTACAGTTACATTAAACTATTAAGTTTTTAAATTAATGCAAATTTTTATTTCTATTGTATCACATTTAAATAACATTTTTAAATGAAAAAAAAAATCGTTAATTATAAAACTAAAAGGACTCTAAATTTATATATTGTTTTATTTCTGTTTAAAATAAAAATAAATTTAATTACAGTATAATTTGACATAAAAAAAACTAATAGATTTATATTTGAACATATTTATTTAAATATGTTCAAATATAAATCTATTAAATAAATATAATAAACAAATATGTTCAAATATAAATCTATTATTCTATGTCAAATTATAGTGGACATGGTTATGATTACATATAACTTAACTATTATAAAAAAACTTAATATACTAAGTTTTAAACAAAATTTTAGAAAAATGTATTGTGTATATACTACACACTTTTATATATAAGTATTACATATATGACCAATTGATCAAAACATTAGAGACATCTACTAATAGCATGCCAGACTTTCTCCAGCACAAATGACAGTTTGTACACATTGAGGTATTGATTTAGATATTAGAGGGTTGCTGGCTTTCACAGACTTCAGTATGCAGCATGCACCATACTGTCTAACAGCATGCATACTGTCTATTGGCCTTGACATTGAGCCTGCATGTGGATCTGTGCCACTGTCATCCATTGATCACCCTATACCAGTCTGAACAGTTTCTGTTGCCCCTGGTCACCAATGATCCATGGGGCCACTGTTTGCTTGCTGAGTACTGGTGCAATAGATCCTTGATATGGTTGCCCTTGAAAACCCTGAGGTTTTGTCACTTCAGAGCTAGAATGATCCATCTGTCTTGTGTTGACAATGTGTTTATCAAAGTTGCTAAGATCACCATGTTTATCCAGTTTTGTTGTTTGTGATACACTGTCAAGAAAGCTAGATGTCTGTCTATACATACCCTGAGTTAGTTATACATTAAACTCTACTAAAACTTACACATCCCTTCACTACTGTTTCTGATGTTTTGATCAGTCAGTGTATATATAAAGTATAAATATATAAATAATGTATAGCCTAAACTTACTTTTATCATCATAATTTATTTTATACAGTGGGTGATCGGTTAATGAACAAATCAGTTAACGAACACTTTCGCGAAAGATTTTTATGATCGGACAACAAACACTTCACTGAACAAACACAAGAAGAAGCGACGTAAAATAACGAATACCGATTGGTCTTCCTTTGTCTTCAGGCAACAATTCAAAACTTTTCAGAGCACGGGAGACGTCGACATCGATGTTCTATCCAGTATATACTGATCGGATAGTATTCCCCCCAAACTTTGAAACTATCCCCTTGTAATTCCAGCCTTTTATATTTCTGACAGAAACAATTCTTTTACGTTTTCTTCTGAAAATGCAGATTTATGCCGACATCTGCTATTAAAGATCCTTTGAAGAAGTGGGAGGATGTCAGAACAACGGTCTTAAAATGGCATCCAAACCAGGTTTAGGTTAATAGGCCAAGGGATCTCTACAATTACAATGCTATTAATTACTTCTGAAAAATCATGAAGAAGACAGAAAAGCAATCGACATTGGGCAGATTCTTTAACCCCCACAAACAGAAAAAACATGACTAATAAAAATGCAAGATCGTGTATATATGTATTTTTATTATTACATATGAATAAACGTAGTAAGAAAGTATATATTTTTTATTATTTTGGGAGTCTCCAGAACAAATTAATCAAATTCCCATAGAAACCTATGGTAAATCGATAATCAGTTAACAAACAATTTGGATAGCGAACAGTCTTGGAATGGATTATGTTTGTTAACCGATCACCCACTGTATTTTACTTAACAATTTAATCAAAAAATATCCAAAGTTCATTTATTGATTTAAAGTTGATTAAATATAACTTCTAAATTAAATTTTATGTAATTATTATGAAGTAATCATCATACTTTTAAGAACTAGACACACAAACCTAATTTCTTTCTTCTTTCTAAAATCTTTCATTTCATAATATTTTTCTCTCAATTCACTAATTTGTTTTTCTTTCTTGATAAATGTCAATCCTTCATTTTTCAATAACTGAATCTATAAGACGAACAAAATTGATGAAAAGTTTTGAACAAAATCTTAACAAATCAATGTTTCAAAAAACTTAATATACTAAGTTTTAAACAAAATTTTAGAAAAATGTATTGTGTATATACTACACACTTTTATATATAAGTATTACATATATGACCAATTGATCAAAACATTAGAGACATCTACTAATAGCATGCCAGACTTTCTCCAGCACAAATGACAGTTTGTACACATTGAGGTATTGATTTAGATATTAGAGGGTTGCTGGCTTTCACAGACTTCAGTATGCAGCATGCACCATACTGTCTAACAGCATGCATACTGTCTATTGGCCTTGACATTGAGCCTGCATGTGGATCTGTGCCACTGTCATCCATTGATCACCCTATACCAGTCTGAACAGTTTCTGTTGCCCCTGGTCACCAATGATCCATGGGGCCACTGTTTGCTTGCTGAGTACTGGTGCAATAGATCCTTGATATGGTTGCCCTTGAAAACCCTGAGGTTTTGTCACTTCAGAGCTAGAATGATCCATCTGTCTTGTGTTGACAATGTGTTTATCAAAGTTGCTAAGATCACCATGTTTATCCAGTTTTGTTGTTTGTGATACACTGTCAAGAAAGCTAGATGTCTGTCTATACATACCCTGAGTTAGTTATACATTAAACTCTACTAAAACTTACACATCCCTTCACTACTGTTTCTGATGTTTTGATCAGTCAGTGTATATATAAAGTATAAATATATAAATAATGTATAGCCTAAACTTACTTTTATCATCATAATTTATTTTATACAGTGGGTGATCGGTTAATGAACAAATCAGTTAACGAATGGTTCCTTACAACCAGATTTGGTTACAGTTGGACTACTAAATATCTCTCTAGACAATAATGAATAGGGTACTTTAATTACAATCACTTGATATATGAACATGAATTATTGTTCTTTTTTATCTTAAAATCTTAATTTGATATTGGTTCTTCATGCACATGAAATTCCACAAGAATCAATGTCCATACAAAGAAGAAAAAGAAAATATGCAATGATAAAGAAATGATTGCTAATGTGAAGTAATAAATTTATTGAATACTGATTTACTGGCATAGCAATAACTAGGATATTTTAAAAAAAATGTGCAAATTGCCATACAGTGGAACCTCTATATTCATAATATTTGATATTCGTCACATTTTGATGACTTTTTTATTTTTCCATATTCGTCAGTATTTTCTGTATTCGTCATCATTCCCAACACCAGAAGTGGCACTACAATTGCATGCCTGCGCCGATCAGCTAGCCATGTTAGCTAGCTGTTAGTTAATCAGTCTGCTTTGTGTGATCATTGTGTGTGTTGTTGAATTATTGAAAAATAATCAATGCGAGAAACCAAGTTCCAATCACCCCAAAGTGGCATCCAAATGTTGCTATAGTCAACCAAAATACAAATATATTCAATGATAACATAATTGCCTACTTCAGAAAAGTTTTAAAAAGCAGACAAAAACACACAACACTGGACAAGTTCTTTATTAAATTGAGTGCTACTAAATCATTGGCAAAACAGACCCCATGATCATAATTTGAATTGCCTAATGTTTTAATTGATATGTCTTCTTCTAAACAATAATACTGTTCTTCTCCTTCTACAACTATACTGTATTTATTTAGTATAATAAAGATATAGTTTTACAAATAACATAATTTTTATTTTTGTATCTTTTTTTCAGGATGGAAACGGATTAATTGAATATCAGTTATTTATTATGAGAAAAATTGTTTCTATATTCATCATATTCCATATTCGTTAGGTCCTTAGGAACAGATTAATGATGAATATAGNACTATAGATCATATACTTTCTTGCATTAACCTTTTGAATCATTGCATATGACTTAAAAACTGGATATCTTAAATATTGTAATCAATATCCTTTACTGCAAAATTAACAAATTAATGAACATTTTTGACTGCATATATCAAACATCTTTAGGTTCAAATATAGAACAAAAACAAAGGGAATGATTACATGCTAAAATGCTGCATCTGTATGTTTAATTTAAAATATTTTTAAATTTTGTTTTAAATGATTACTAGGAATGATAGATAAGTTTAGCAAATGTACAAAAATATAGACAAAATAAAAATAAAAAAATCACATATAAAAAAATTCTATATATTTTTTAATGTTATTTGTTTACTTTAGTTTGTTCATATGTTTGTATATTTCTTATAACTATCAATCCTAGTAATTATTTGACTTTAAATTTAAATATAAGTTTTATTAATTCTTAACTTAAGAAATCACAATTTTACATATTTCAGTTTATAATAAAACAATGTAATCTATATAAATTTATAAAAAGAACAATGCTTATAAATGATAAACTAATGATGGGTACTAACTGTATAAAAAGCAGTTAATGACATAGTTGATTATACAGCAGTGGCCAAAAGTAGAGCTACCCTTGACATATGTTTTAAAAATGTGATCTCTACTTTGTTCACCACATACTACATAATTAATATTGTGATAGTTGAAAAGAGCACAAAAAAAGAGTCAAAGTACTCAATTAACTCAAACAGATTTTATTTTAAATCTGATGTACAAAAGAAAAAACAAAGTTTTTATATATTACACTGTAAAAAAAGTAGAGCTATCAAAGAAAGTATGCAGATTTGTCCAGTATTTTTAGGACAAAATATTAGTATTTTGTAGCCTAACCAGAGCTTCTGATCACTGCATCACATCTACATTCCATTGACTCAACTAAGTTGTCAAGTAATGATTTAAGAGTCTCATACAATGCTTTTTGAATGGTAAACCACAATTCATCTGGATTTGAATATGTACGCTGGCGTATGTGGCACTCAACTTTATCTCAAAGATTCTCTATGGGGTTGAGGTCAGGTTGAGGTCAGGCAATTGGGCTGGCCATGTCATAAGATTCACCCTTTTCTGTTAACGCCATTGCTTTACCAAATTTGCTGTGTGTTTTGGGTCATTGTCCTGTTGGAAGATCCATTTCCTTGGCATTGAACAATGTGCATGAGGAAGCATTTGATTCTGCAATATGTCCTGATAAACAGTTTGATCCATTATTCCATTAATTCTATGAATTGGACCAATTCCCTTTGCAGAGAAACATCCTCATACCATTATGCAGCCACCCACCATGCTTTATTATAGGAACTATGTATTTTGGATCATATCTCATGTTCACTGGCTGTCTGACATATCATACCATCACTAGAAAAGACATTGATTTTAGATTCATTACTCCATAACACCTTGGACCATTTTTGTTCGGTCCAAGTGATGTGTTCATGTGCAAACTCTAATCTCAACTTTTTGGTTTTTGGAGAGAGGAGTGGTTTCTTTGCTGGTCATCTCCCATGTAATCCAAAACTAGTCAAATGTCTTCATACAGTCCTTAAGCTTATATCTGGGTCACCCACTTCACATTTAATATGTGAAGCAGTCAAACATGGGTTGGCTGTACTTGTACACCTGATCACACAATCCAACTGTGAGGTGTTGTTTTTCATGGCATTTTGGCAGAAACAATGGTCCCATATATTTGAAAACACTTACTACTTTCATGACAATATTTTTAATCACATTAAAGATTTTACAAATTTCAGTAAAGGTCTTTTTTCCTTTAAATGCATATCTACCATTCTTTGTTTGATATCATTTGATAATTGTATTCCTCTGGACAACTTAGTTAATTCAATGGGATGTAGATGTGATGCAGTGATCAGTTACGCCACAAAATACTAATATTTTGTCCTAAAAATACTGGACAAATATGCATACTTTTTTGGTACAGTGTAAAATATAAAACTTCGTTTTTTTCTTTTGCACATCAGATTTAAAATAAAATCTGTTTGAGTTAATTGAGTACTTTGACTCTTTTTTTTGTGCTCTTTTCAACTATCACAATATTAATTATGTAGTATGTGGTGAACAAAATAGAGGTCACATTTTTAAAACATATGTCAAGGGTAGCCTCTACTTTTGACCACTTCTGTAAGTAGTTTAAACTACCAGTTAACTACATTTCAACTACTCATAAAGAGAAAAACAAAAAATTAGACTGGATTAAAATAACATTTTGCTTTAATTTCATCCTTATTATTTAACACTTTTATTTCTTTTTTAAACTGATGTCTCAAGAATACAAGATTTTCTAATTTTTCTTTTGACATTCTGCATCATTTAGATGTTAAAATCATAAAAAGATGTGTTTTTCTTGTTGGGACAACAAGAAAAACACAAAATCCACTGCTGCATCACCAGTGAAAATAGTGTTGTATTCTAAAAATCATTCTTTACATATCAGTAGTTATGTAATATGTTCAAACCAATATCATTGTTTTCCAAATTCCCAATTTTACACGAAAATTCCTGCCAATTATTTTAATTTATGAAATATAGTAATAAGTAATAACTCTACTCTAGAGGAATAAGTAATAAAAATTTACATATATAGCATGTATTTTTATATTTCCAAACACATGTAAGTTAGATGTACTTACATAAGCCACACATTTTTTTATACATGTATATGGCTAAGCAATGAAATGATTGTTTTTGTTTGAATTCAACTTTTAGCAACTAGAGTACAAAGATCTCAAATGCTACAATTGCTCAAAAATGATAAAAACTTGAATCAAATTTGTCGTCTTTGACACAAGTTGAATTGATCTTAATAAAAGTCAAGACATATTTGCTCTGCTTAATACAATGGATTGCTCCAAGGTAATAGTGAGGTTGAGGCCAAAGTTTTAAACGCGAAAGCATGTTCATCGGATGTTTAGCGCCGCTTTCCTGTAAGCCTAGAAGTTTGTGAATCATTGCATATGACTTAAAAACTGGATATCTTAAATATTGTAATCAATATCCTTTACTGCAAAATTAACAAATTAATGAACATTTTTGACTGCATATATCAAACATCTTTAGGTTCAAATATAGAACAAAAACAAAGGGAATGATTACATGCTA